TCAATATAGGGTAACCGATTACTCTATTGAAAAAAACTGAAAATGTGAAATTTACACTGAGTAACCGGTTACTCTATATAAGGTAACCGGTTACCACTGAATCAGAAGCAGAAAAACAGCTTTTAAAATCAGTTTTCAACATCCAACAGTTTCTCCAATCATCCATATGAACATGATATCAATCAAACACGAATTATCATCAAGAAACAGTGATTAAGCATAACGTAAACACAATCAAGCAATGAAATCACAAATCACCAAGATCCAAATCATCAAAATGGATCAAAAAGCAGCAAACCCATGGATCTACATTGTGATTATTCAAATAAATTCAAAATTGGATTAGATCTAGAATTCACCAACCTTCAAAGCGGAGATTTGCTTTGGTGAGTGTTGATTCACTTGAAATTAGCATATCCAATCAAGAAACCCAGAGATTCTTCAAGATCCAAGAGTTTTCTTGTGGTAGAAATGAAGATCAAGCAAGATCAAGAAAAAATGATCCAAAAAGCACTTCCAATCTAGCTTCCAAATTCAGATCCAAAACCAAACAAAAATTTAGTGGTGAATTGAAAATAATGGAGATGAATGATGGAGGTTTAGCTCTAGAATTCAATGATTCCAATGAAGAATCAAAGAACTCAAGTGAAAGAGATATAATGGAGGTTTTGGGAGTGAAAAAGTAGAGAGAAAATTGAGAGCAAATTCTCAAGAGTGAAAGTGAAATCTGAAAATGAAGGGTAATTGTGTGAGGTTTGGAGCAAATTCACTTAAATAAGCTCTAAGTTTGGGATCAAAATATGGTTTGGAATGAGGATTAGCATTTGGAATAGAAATTAGGAATGGAGTGTTTGAAATTTGGAGGGAAATGGTGAAAAGTGAAGCAATTATAGATCCTTCCAAATATGATAAAGTGAAATCAATGGTTGAGAATGGTTGGAAATTGCACATGCTGAAAATTTGAATTTCTTGGCCAATTTCGCTTGAAGTAACCGGTTACTCAATATCGGGTAACCGGTTACCCTATTCAAAAATGCCCAAATTTGGCGCCAAATGGAGGGAATCCTGCATAATTACCCGTTGCCACCTGTTTTAAGCTCTGTTAAGCCTCTGAAACTTGTCCTTGGATATTATGACTGTGAGAATGCCTGAGATAGCCTGTACACCGTCTCCTGAGCTGAAAATAACCTGCTAAATAAAAATCGGCTGCTTGATCGTTGGGAAAAATAAATGTCGGAGCCTCTAACGCTCGCTATTTAGACTCTTGCAATAAAAGGGAACCTGAGCCATGAAAACACCTTGATCCCATGCCTCAAGAACCAATTCTATGATAAGCATAAATGCAAAATGCTAGGAAACAAAGGCCAATTACAGTTAAAATAAAAGGGCAAATTTTGGGGTGCTACAGATGGCACCCAAACAAAAAATGATTATGTGTAGTTTGTTTGTACGTATGCATATAATGAAGGTTGAAGGTGAAGTGAAATCTTTGAAATCTCATTTCGTTTGTGAATTTCTCAAAATCACTAAAAAGAAATTATGCATGTATGAAGTATATATATGTGTGCACAAGTTAGAATCAAAAGGAATGCAATAGGCTTAGAAAATGATGCATATTTTCAAGATGTTTAATGCATGTGTCTACCTATGTAAGTCACAGGCCGATTTATTTGATGCATGTGCTGACCTTTATAGGTCATGTGTCGAACTATGCAGTCAGCACATTAAACAAATGCTACATGCTTTAAAAATGAGTTACATAGATCGACTTGTAACTCATATGTGTCGACACATAATTTTTTTCTACTATGTGTCGACCTATAGCATGTATGTATCGACCTATAGACCTATTTTGCACACAAAAAACTCGTTTTTAATGCATGAAGCCTTTTCTAAACCATGACCAAAATGTTTTATTCTCCTTAATGCTAAGATTCACATGAAGACCCAGAGAATATCATCCAACATACATAAACGCTAAATTATCCTAGTTTTAACATCATGTAAAATACATCTAACAGAAAATTGCACTCACGTACTCCCTATTTTTTATGATGGAAAAACTTGAGACAATACATTTTGTGTCTTCATGAAGGCTCCCTCTGAATGTATGCATCCTGTAGTGGGAAAATCTGAGATTAAGTTATTGATTAACTTAACCCATAATGCAAGAGTCGCCACCACACTTTTATTTTTTCAAAGGAATGGGGAAAAGAACGAACAAAACTCAAAGAAATTTTAAAACAAAACTAATAAAAACAGAGACAAGGTTAAGGGGGTTGGTTATGCAATAGGAAGGTGTTAGCACCCAAAACATCTATAGTATTCTATAGGAATCTCTTGAAAATATATGTTTGGCTTAAAAGGCGTTGTTTGCAAAAGATGGTGGAGATGAGAAAATTATTTTTAAAGATTTTTGTGTTTGACAAGACTTCTTGAGTCTCGAGCCTACGTACCCACAAAGTGTAATGGAGGATCAAAACCTCGTATTTCATGGTAAAAATAAAAAAAGAGATTTGTTTTGATTAAATTTAAATGGGAAGACAAGTAGTCATTTTAAGGAGAACACTCAACTAGTCACCCACAAGGGTGTGAAAATGGACCTTTGCATCACTATTGAGAAGGACTCCAACTTGGATTAAAATTAACAAGTATGTCACTAACTCTCTCAAGTGGAAAAGAATCAACATCAAACATAACTACGGAGATAGGAGAATTACATCTCAATTATGAAAATGATTCATGTCTAAATTTTATGAAAAAGTTTTAAAAGAAAAAGTAAACAAATAGCACACAATGATTTGAATGACTTAAGTATTATTTTTAAGTCTTATGAAAATGGTCTTGATATGCTTAAGATTGATTAGCACTTTATTCAAGAGAAAGAATTTGAAAATCACTTGACAAAGTCAAGGTTTATTAAGAAAGTGGTTCAAGTTTAAAAATAAGAAGGTTTTGAAAAAAGGAGAAGATTTTGAAAATTGAAGAAGGGGAGAAGATGAATAGACTATCCTAAAGCATAAAATAAAATCTAAGAAAGGAAAGATCTAACAAAGATACAAGTTATCCCATCCTTTAGATTTAAGCAATAAGCAAGTAGAGAAATAACCAAGCATCAGATGAAAGAGAACTTAAACCAAGGCCAAAGATGAGGGAGCAGAGCTAAGTCTTCTACAAGTCAACTCAAGGTCAAGGTACTAGATGGATTCCAAGGTGTCATGTCACAACTCCAAAGCATAGAGCAAATAACCTAATTCTAAGTCCATCATCCAAGCAAAGGATAGTCACTAAATAGTCCAAGGAATATTAAGAGTCTTGTAATGGTTTAAGCATTTATTAATGTCTTAAAAGAGAAAAAGAAAGTCCAAATGGACAAAAGGAAAAGGTATAAACATAAACAATAGCAAATGATATGATAATGATAATAATAATAGAGCAATATATAAGGTGCAAGAAAGTAAATGACTTAAAGATAAAGGTGCATAAAAGTAAATGGCATAAAAATAAATGTTAGCACAATTATATAGTTTGTACAAGTGTTAGAATTAATAATCCGATTCGGGACAAATTTAACGCTATGTTAAGCAATCGTAGCATAATCTATAAGGAAGATCATACTATAGGAGGCCGATCAATAATAATTTATGTACCATACATGTTAGAGATATGATATAAAGATCATACTCCTAAAACATGTAGCACAAGTCAAAACAAGGTTGATCAAGACCTAAGTCAAGGAAGAGGGGTCCATTATATCAATCAACCTTTCATGATACTTAGGACAAACTTATACATCAATCTAAAGTACCTCAATTGATCATTTAATCAATCAAATGGTGAATTTGAAATTATGAAAGTTCATCAAGCAACAATCAAGATCTCATGAACAAGATGGATCACACATCTTCCAATTGATCAGGAGGAAAGGGTGAAAAAGAAAAATAAAGAGATGAAGATAGAAGGAGACAACAAAAGAAAGTAAACCAAATTGGATCAAATGATTTAATCAAGTCATCATCAAGTTTATTCATTCATTTTGGTGAATTAGGGTTTTCACCCCATCAACACCCAAGATCCATTGAGTTTGATGAAACTTATGATCAAATCAACTAAGATCCAAGACCAACAGAAGTCAACAAAGGTCAAACAAGTATAAAATGAAATAAAATGAAATGCAATGCATCAAAAAGATTTCTAAAATGATTTTTAAAAGGAAAATAAAATGGAAAATCTATAAAGTCCTTCAAATCACTAAATAAATGGCCAAGAAAATTATGGAAGGTCGGAAATAAAATAAAAAGCATGTGGAAAATTTTTCAGAATTTTTAAAGACCTAAAACTATTTTTAAACCAATTAAAACAAAGGAAAAAAGAGAAAATCAAGGGAAAAAATGTAAAATCATAAAATAAAAATCTCCAAAAATAAAAATCATATGAAGAAAAATAAAAGAAAATTTTAAAAATTATTTTGTGATTTTTTGGAGTTAAAATGGATTTATTATTTTTTTTGCGACCTTCAGGGCGGCGATTGATGGTGACAACGAAGGGGGGGACGAGGGCGGCCGAAATCCACGGTGCCATCGTCACCGAAAACTCTCACTAGTTTGAAGACGCCAGAACTCGAATCAAGAGATACCACCACCAATTTGAAGACGCATGAGATTGAATCAAGAACTACCGCTGGAGAAGATACAGATATGACAAACACACTCGAGAATGAAACCAAGAAAACCCTAACAGAAACGGTACAAACACAACCTGAGGAGCGTAAACTATGGGTTGATATCATTAATGACAACTGGAACCCTGCAAAGGGAATGGCAATAGAATACGTTGCGCAAAAGGTCGTCAATGGAGTGATTGAAATCGAGATTGAACAAGAAGATATCGCAACGGAAATACAATTTTAGGATAATGCTCTAATCCTTTATGTTGTGGGAGACGATTTGAGTATGAACACGATGAAGAACTTTATGCAGAGAATGTGGAATTTCGCGAAGATGCCAGATCTCTATTACCACGATGACGGATATTTTCTGCTCAGATTTAACTCCCAGGGAGACAAGGAAGTAGTCATGATGAAAGGCCCATACACGATTCGAAATATGCCCATGATATTGAAGGAATGGAAAACGGGTTTCAACCTAAAGAAGGATCTGCTAAGAACATTACCTATATGGGTCACACTCCCCCAACTTCCCCTGCACTTATGGGGGGGAAAAAGTCTCAGCAAAATTGGAAGTGCTATTGGCAAACCATTGGTGACTGATGAGTGCACGGCAAACAAATTTCGTGTATCATATGCAAGACTGTTGATTGAAGTAGACATTACACAACCATTGATTGATGAAATAGCCATTAGAAATGTTGAAGGTGACATAATAATGCAACCTGTGAAATATGAATGGAAACCAACATTCTGTGAAACATGTCAAAAAATGGGGTATAAATGTGAAGATCGAGGGAAGAACCAACAATGGAGACTAAAACCCAAACCACCAGAAATAGCCAAGACCATAACGCCTGTAAAACAACCTGAAAGAGAAGAGGCAACAGGGGAAGGAGGAGAATCTTGGACAAAAGCACGAAAGTATGTACGAGATAAAGGTAAAAACATATTGACTGATACAAATAGCAACATCAACTGTAACAATGGTTTTGAAGCACTTGAGGTTTTGAATGACCATCAAGTGATCTCAAACCTTGAACCATGTTAGTCTCATGGAACATAAGGGGACTCAATAAAGTAGGCAAAATTCGTGAGATTTGGTCCCGTCTCCCAGAGCTAAAGCCTGTTATTATCATTTTGATTGAAACCAGAGTTAAAGAAGCTAAAGCCAAGACTATTCGAGAGAAACTGATGGTGTATGATAATCATATTGACAACTACAAAGACCATACAAATGGTAGAATTTAGATTCACTGGGATAGTAACAGGGTGAATGTGAAATGCATACAAAGTAGCAACCAACATATCCCCTGTGGTATTTATGATAATCTTGGTGATTTCAAACACTGGTTAACTGCTGTATATGCTCATAACCAGCTGAACAAAAGGAAAACCCTGTGGACAGAAATTGAAAACATATCTGGTAGCATCCAAGGACCTTGGTGTATCATTGGAGACTATAATAATGTAACCAAAGCCCAAGACAGATTGGGATGAAATCTAGTGACTGAAAAGGAATATGCAGACCTAAAAAAAATGATGGAGAATACGGGTTTAAGTGAAATGGATAGCATTGGTGACCATTTCACATGGTCCAATAAACAAGCAACTGGTCCCATATATTCAAGAATTGACAGAGTGTTAGGCAATAATGGTTGGTTCCTCACCAATATGGAGACTATTCTAAAAATCCTTCCTCCTAATGTCTCTGATCATACCATGCTGTTTTTAGAATGTAAACAAGAACAGTGGAAAAACTCAAGACAGGCTAAGTTTAAGTTTAGCAATTGCCTTACTGAAATACCAGGTTATGATAGTCTGGTCAAGAAAAGTTGGGATAGCCATATTAGAGGTAGCCCAATGTATGTTCTTTGGCACAAACTCAAGAGATTGAAGCATGAGTTAAAAAACTTCAGCAAACTTCTATCTGATGTGAAAAACAAATTGATATTAGTTAGAAATACCCTCAGAGAAACACAAGAAAAGCTGAGCAATGACAGAATGAACAACACATTGATTGGGAAGGCTAAAGATCTGACTGAAGAAGTGATATCCCTGAACAAAATGGAATGGCAGATTCTGCAGCAAAGGGCTAAGATTGATTGGATTAGAAAAGGAGATGGAAACAATCAGTATTTCTATGCTGCTATCAAAGGTAGACATCACTCCAACAACCTAAACAACCTGAGGAAGAATGATGGTAGGCAAATTACAACCAAGAAAGACATTGAAGATGAAGTGATCAATTTCTACAGAAACCTAATGGGCAAAGATGATGAAAGCATTAGCCATATTGATATTGAGGCCATGAGGATGGGAAAACAACTTGATATGGACCAAAGGGAATACCTCACCAAAACCATATCAGAAGACGAAATTACCAAAGCCCTTAAAGGAATTGGAGACCTCAAAGCACCAGGACTGGATGGTTATGGAGCCAAATTTTTCAAGGCCAGCTGGACAACTATAAAAACTGATGTAATAGCAGCTGTTAAGGAATACTTTGAAACAGGCAAAATATACAAAGCTTTCAACAGTGTTGTAGTATCCCTGATTCCAAAAGGACAAAATGCTTGTGAAATCAAAGACTACAGATCTATAGCTATCTACACCACTTTCTATAAGATTATTTCCAAAATTCTGACTGACAGAATAGGATCTGTCATTCCTAGTGTGGTGAATCACAATCAGGCAGCCTTCATACCAGGCCAGAACATTCATAATTACATCATGCTTGCTACTGAGCTTATTAAAGACTACACCAGGAAAGGGGGTACACCTAGAATTATGATGCAAATAGATCTACAAAAAGCATATGATATGGTTAATTGGAGGGCTTTGGAGTGCATCATGAAAGAAATGGGATTTCCCAACAAATTCATCCAATGGACTGATATCCTGCTCGGCATCACCACTGTGTCATATAGATTTAATATCATGGGGGAATACACTGATATCCTGCAGGCTAAAAGGGGGATTCGGCAGGGTGATCCTCTATCACCTATGCTCTTTGTCTTCATAATGGAATATATGAACAGACTGGTGATGAAAATGCAAAGAAATCCTAATTTCAACTACCATGCCAAGTGTGAAAAATTGAATATTACCAACCTCACTTTTGCAGATGATGTGCTGTTATTTTGTAGAGGAGATGAAATATCAATGCAATTGATTTTAAGGGCATTCAGAGATTTCTCCAATTCCACGGGATTGATAATGAACCCAAACAAATGCAAGATCTATTTTGGAGGTTTGGACAATGAGAAGAAAAAAACCTTGGAAGAGTTGTCGGGTTTCCGAGAAGGAACGTTGCCATTCAAATACCTGGGAATACCATTGTATAGCAAAAAATTAACCATCACCCATTATATGCCCTTGGTGGATAGAATAGTGGCTAGAATTCATCATTGGTCATCTAAACTCCTAAGTTACGCAAGCAGAATTCAGTTGGTGAAAAGTATCTCTTCAGCAATGGTACAATACTGGATGCATTGCCTCCCCATGCCCAAAGCTGTGATCAGAAAAATCGAATCCATCTGTCGCAGTTTCATCTGGACCGGTAAGGATATGGTGAGTAGAAAATGCCCTGTGGTATGGAAACACACCTGCTGCCCTACTGCACAAGGGGGGATGAACCTACTGAATCTACAAGTATGGAACAATGTTCTGCTTCTGAAATGCTTATGGAATATTTGCAGAAAAACTGATACTTTATGGGTGAAATGGATTCATAGTCATTACCTAAAAGGAAAACATGTGATGAATTATGTAATCAAAAATCACAATTCTTGGATTATGCGCGGTATTTTGAAACAACGAGATACCAGGGAATTAATTCGCCATGAATGGAACCAAGCTATGAACACTAAAAAATTTAAAGCGTCGGTATTTACAAGCTACTGATTGATGATGGCACAAGGGTTCCTTGGAAAAATTGATAATATCCAACAAAAGCCGGCTGCGAGCAATACTTTGTTTATGGCAAGCATGTCATGGGAAACTTGCAACCAAAGATAGATTAAAGCGTTTTGGGATGATTGAGAACAGCATATGCAATTTATGTCAAGCCGAAGAAGAAACGATGAATCACCTATTTTTCTGCTGTCAAGGGACAAGACACATATGGAAGAAAGTGCTCCAATGGTTTAACATATATCATGAACCTCAACCATGGGAGGCAGAGCTAGTATGGATTACTAATATAATAAAAGGAAAAGGATGGAGAGTTGATGTTTTAAAAATGGTAGTAGCCGAAACCATCTACAACATCTAGGCTTATCGTAATAGTATCACTTTTGGAAACACTGTAAATAATACAACCAGGGATACTAATATCATAGATAATGTGATCTATAGAGGGTGGCAAAATCGTATAATTAGAAAGCACCTTGTTAGTTATATGATGTAAGTTGAGTCGTTTTTGGGTAGGTTGGATCCTCCTGGATCACCTAACTTTTGTACTGACTGTTTTTTTGAATTAATATATTCTTTCCTTTGATTCAAAAATGGATTTATTATAAATTTCGGAAGTTAAAAGCAATTTAAAATAAAAAAAAAGAAAAAAAGAAAATACAGATGGAAAAACAAGGCACGTTGGATGTGGCCTCATTAATTGATGTGGCAGATCCAACACTCCACAACTGATGACACATGGTGGAATTGAAAATAAAAAGCGCATCTGATCTTGAAAATAACACAACAATCGGATCTAAGTTAAGAAGCCAATGCATGTGCATCCAAGGGTGTAGATGAGAGGAGCATTATGGTCCTCAAAGGAAATAATGCATCTGAACAAATTTAAACTCAAACAAACTCAAGTAAGTGTGACTACACTCCGGTCATCTTCTCTGGTGAGTTGCTCTGAAGTTTGCTAAATGGAAACGTTAGGACATGAGACCACCATCACTGCAACCGTTGTCTCATCATGAATTCAACTTCATGCTAAAAATTCATTTATATAAATTGAGCATGGAGAATTTTAGAGAAATCCCAGTGAAAATAAAATCACGAAAAGTAAAATTAAATGATGAACACAATCAATCAACACCAGATAATTGAGGGGAAAGCATCGAAGAGTGGTGGACTACATTGTGGTAACTTGTTTGAAGCAAGAGGATGCTTCTAACTACCTGAATGGAAGAGTGATGAAAATGCTCTAAAATTGGATTTGGTGAGGATAATTCAGAAGCCTTCAATGCTTGGAAATGGTTGGAATAACTTCAGGAGGTATCAAGGAAGCTGTATGTGCAACGCCCCAACTTACTTTATTTGTTTTCTATAATTTATTTATGTGTTGCTGTGTATATTTATGTGTTATCAGTGTTTTTGATATTGTGGAATACCTTGTGGTAGGGGGTAGTGACCTTAGAATTATAGACTCTAAGGGTGAAGGGTGTATGACCAATTGCTTAGAACTTGGTGATGTGGTGAGAGTGGCTAATTAAATAATATTAGTAATATTAGTTGAATATTATTAATTTAATTAATTAAGGATTATTATTATTATTAGTTAATTTGTGGAATAATAATAATAATAGAAAAAAGGGGAGTTGAGGGGAGTTGCTGTCAGATCGTGAAAACTGAGAAAAAGTGAGAAAGAGGAGAAGAAAAGCTAGGGCTCAAAAGAAGAGGGAAGAGACTCCATTGTTGAGGAAGAGAAAATTATCGCAGAAGCTCTAAGGTAAAGGCGGAGTTTTAACTAGTTAAGGGTTAGTATGATGATCATGGTGGGTGTACACGAGCGATTTTTTCTTTTGAATGAGGTCGCCCTTTTACATGTAAACTTTTAATTTATCCCAAAAGGAAGGAAGGGGGAAAATCTGAATAAACTTATGAGTGGTGCTAAGTGTAAAACAATGCAAATAAGAGATTGAGAATCATGATTGGCTATACAAAGGGAAGATACTAACACCCTAAGTATCTATAGTATCCTATATGAACCTCTTGTTTATATTTGTGTTACTGTTGATTAGGCCATCTGTAACACCCTTTTCTACCCCACAAATATAATGGTAAATCAATCACATTTATCAGAGTAAAATATTAAAC